GTGATATTCTCAAGGTCGGCAAAGACAGTTATTTGGTGGGAGCTAACAGTACCATCTGAAGAGCGGATCGCTGAATCGCACGAGTACAAGCTCGACCGATACAGCGGTCTGCAGGCTGAGATTCAGGCTAAAGGTTGGTGCTGTTATAATGCCGCAGTCGAAGTTGGAGCTAGGGGAGTGGTTGCGCAGAGTTTGGAGAGAGCTGCAAGGAGGATTGGTTTTAGGGGAAGAGAGCTGAAGAAGCTGGTACGGGACAGTGGGAAAGAGGCAGCCCACTGTTCCAGATGGATCTACTTGTTATCGAGAAAGAGGGAGTGGGAGTTCAGGAAGGTTGGAGCTTGAGAGTTTACTATAACATCTAGAGGTACCATAAACGTTATCTCGTCGCCAATTGCGAGCTCTAACGGGTCTCCTCAAGTGACTCTCGGATCAGATGGTGGTTCAAGGGTGGACTGCTGGGGCGCCTGACAGGAAACCGTATTGCGATTAAAGCCCCGAAACGGTGTCAGGTTGGTAACTGATGATTCTGATCCATGCTCCTGTGAGTTTGCTGTTGTATCTCAACTCGCTAAACTGAGGCATCTCCGCATCTTGGGTGAATATGCGTACATCTTCATACTAAACCCAGGTGTGGCATGTGTCAGTGAATACGGGCGAGCGGATGCAATAGCGAAGGTGGTGTGACAAGGCCTAAAAGACACAGTCAGATAGTTGTCAGCTCGCTGACTGTAAGGGAGAAGGTATATCCGTATTTCGCTGCTACTGATGCAGTCCTTGATCTGGCAATCAAGGCTTCTCTGTTTTTCGTCTAACTATGTACCGTTGGGCTTGTGGAACCCGTCAGGGGGACATACATAGGTTAGAATGGTTTTGTGCACCAAGAGGAGTGAGGGAATGAGGGTTGAAGAGAGAGAGCTAGAGAGTTGTTAGGGTGGTTAGGATCAGTAGGTGGAGTGTTTGGTTGGAGCGTTCTGTTTTTGCTGTATAGCATTTTAGTCACTCCGCAGTTTATTAACTGTGTCTCAACTCTGTCGAATTTGGCTAATTTATCACGATATGATCAAGTGGCATTTAAATAGTGAGCACAGCTGTAGAATATCATTAGTCATACTCGCACATCCTCGAACTTCTACGAGTACAGTAACAGATCAGTGATCACAGATGTCATGCAAAATTGCAGACCATGCGGACGAATTGACACAAAAGATGTTAGTTCAATTCTTAGCTCGTTTAGCTTTGGGGGTTTTTGAGACATCAACGTGATATGTTAATTAATAATTTGACGGCAACAGAAGCTTTTTTAAATATGTTTAAATATAGTCTTTAGCTGTGCGTGCAGTTCTTCTTAAGATCTTTAATTGTTGCAATAAGCACGTTTTCATGCTTCTCAGAGAGATGCATGAAATTGAAATATAAGCGGCTTATGCGGTAGTACAGAGTGCGGAAAATAAAGACAGGCGTGATTTTTGGAGTATGTGGACTCAAGACGAAATAAAGTCTAAAGTGTTGTATGGATATATTTTATGTGTTGCATGCATATAATATTAATTTGATTGATCCTGGTTTCTTAAGAAACCAAATTTCTTTCCATTGTCTTATTTTAAGTTTAACATCGCTGTGTTTCAGTATTTTTATTTCGTGCTGATTTCGTAGCAACGCTGATTTATAGCCGTTGAAGCTATGTCACCAACTGTAAACATATCTTCTACTCTCACTCCACCTCCAGGTAACCTAATAGTCAATGTTATTTTATTTCCATAGTAGGATTATAAAAAGTTAGATTATTTCCGCCAAAATCTGAGTTACAATATACGGAAAACTAACACTTTTATTAAACAATTTTATCAAAGCACCTGTAAATCAGCTCATGATGATGAATCATTCTACGCTGGAATATTGTACGTAACTTACACGAGTTTAACACGTTATTCGAATGAGTTTTTCGCAGATAACTCTCTAGGGAAGTATTTTAACCATACGTCATCTGGGTGATTCGGAATCAGCGTCCAAACATACATCGATCTGAGTTGGTTGTACAACTGCCAGGGGCCTTTTAGAAAAATTTTGAAGTTCCAGTTTTCACAGTGATTCATCACGCTTGGCTCCATATCGAAATTCGAGGGTGAGCACATCCGATCACTATTATATGTTAATCGAGTTGTTGCCTGTTTCTCTGTACGGGAAAAGCTCTTTAATAGTAAACGACCATACCGTTATATTAACTTTATATTAACTTTAAGTGTAATCGATCTAGCAAAAAACCAAAATTGTCCACTCTGCCTTCCCACAGTGTTGTATCAAATATTGTTGGATTTGGATTTTGTTGTACTGATATTTGTAGCAACCCTGAATTGCCGGTGAAGTTATGCCTCCAACCATTCACTCATCATCACCCCTTTCTCTGCCTTCAGGTAAACAGTTAAATCAGTCAGTGGCTGTTTATATTCCGATCTAGGATTCAGATAATCTGTATCGTTATTTTCATATACTGAATCAGATGCTACAGGGTTACCATTTTGAATTGACCTATGATATCAGCATTGTTGATCAACAGAACTATGAATTAAAATACAAATTAGACTTACGAAGAGGGCGTCTAAATTAATTTTGGGGGCCAATCTAAAGTTTTAAACTGATTATGGTACAGTGGCGTAACGAAGGGCCCCGCTGACCCCGCTGTGTGGTAGGGCGCCATCTTAGAGTTATAGAGAGGTGCCAAATCGTTGATTGAATGTGGGACAATTTTGAAAAACTTAACTGCAGTACTCCGCGTTTTGCTCTAGAAGCACGTTCTTTTAGAGATTTTACCGGCGTGACCTCTAAAATCACCTAATTTGTCTAATTTTACGGAGGGGCGCTAAAAGGGGAGGGGTGCTTTTTCGGCGGGGGGGGGGGTGGGGGCGCCGACATGCAACGTTATGCCACTGGGACCGATTTAAAGTTTTAAAATCTAAACTGACTTATATGGTATCCGAATTCCCATATACCTTACAGCCACATTACATTCTGAACCAATTAAATCGTCAGCAATGAAATGAACTTTGGTTCATGGGTTGAAATTCTTCTTATTTAATTCTTTAAAATTCTTTTAAAGAATTACAATAAAAAATCCGACTATTCCATAATTCCTTCTCATTACATGGTTATACATTCATTTGCGCTTAGTTAACTGCAGTGGAGTAAATAGAAAATCTTATGAATGAACCTTCAGTATTAACGTATGTAGTGGAAATACCTGTTTATCACGCGTTGGAACTCTTGTAACAGCTGCATATAAAGACATTATAATGTAGCAGCTTTATAAGGGATAATCGTTTAAACGCGTGTTTCATGTAAGTCGTCAGGGAGAAATTGCGATTTTTCGTATACATTTGTATTGATCCGTATTCCGTATGTATTGATCCTCATTTGTGTGTACGATCAGTGAACACTAATTTCTTTCTTTTCTTAATTCGAGTATAGTCGGTCTTTTGAGACATGATGTCGTTGTTGTTGTCATCTATTAATACATGCAATTGTTACCCGACAGTTGGAACCAGTGATGATGTAAGTAATAATGTTTGTCAGACTTTTGGTGCTTCTGCTGAAGACGTAAATAAGTAATAATATCAAGGTTTTTAGAAATTCAGTACTTGAACTTCTGCTAAAGTCGTAAATTGGCCGTCTTGGAAGAGCAGAATAACCTGAAATATGTACGTCCTGTATTTGGTAGCTAATTCTCAGATCGACAGCTAAAGTATAATATAAGCACAAAGATAATATATGTACCAGAGAAATTAGTGATAATTGACAAGTAAGCTGATATGCCAATAATATTTTGAGGTTATCTGTGTATTTATGCACTTCAGCCTCTTGCTATTTAAGCTTATATGATTACGTCATGCACAGTTTATATCGAGTCTCGTTTGATGATTATTTCAAGGAAATTTCTGATTTTTTTCTGAATAGACTCAGTGGTGACCATTTTAAAATGAAAGTTGTAACATTATCATCTCTAAGTCTACTTGTCTATTCAGAAAAACATCAGACATTTTATTAAAAGTATTGAGACAATATTACATATGAGTATTGCTGAAAGCACAGTGTAAGGCCTACACGGACCTACATATATAATATATATGATATATATTAAAATATGTGTGTGTGCTTGTCATTGACGAAATTTTTTGTTAGGTTGCACAATGCCGCAGATAGAAATGATCTATTAAGCTTAACAGTTACTGTGTATCGGTATTATATTTGTTAGTTAGATTACAAGTGCAAATGATTGAATTTTATCGCTATACGATCATTTGATCTGGAAGTTTATCTGCTGGATCTATAAAATTTGAAAAACGTTATTTACTCCGAATTTCAAATCCCATCATTTAACCATGGCATAATCTCACAAAAAATGTTTTTTATAGTGGTGAACGGAAAGCGTGCATGATTTTAAACATACAGTTTTGACACTGTTTGAACCGCGTGAAATACCACCGCTTATATGTAGTTTTTTCTAGTTCAAGTTAGGAAATTGTGAGTCCCTGATAAAATGGTATTTCCCTCAATAGGTGATACCGAGATTTTGAGGTTTAGAAGACGTAAAACTCGTTTAAATGGGTTTACGAAATGCCATGGTAAAAAAACCGTACTACCATAAATATCCTCAGTACATGATAATAAAAGTAACAAACGGCGATCAATTCTACATAATATATATGTATAGTCTCATGTCTATTGCCATTAGGGCCTCGCTCCTCGTGATCTCTCAGCTGCATCAACTTCCTCTTATCTCCTCTTATCTCCTCGTCATCGTTCCCGGTCCTTTCATACTCGCCGTCTCTCCATTGTCACATGGTTGTCGGTTGACAATACCCTACCATAGAAGTTGCTGTGTATCACCACCGGATCTTAACTCCATTATATGTGTTAAACTAATTTCTTCCTTGGAAATCCAAGATAATTTACTGCAATACTGGGCAGCTGTTTGCAATGAGATTATGCTGTCTCTTATTTACTTTAGTTGTTGCCACGTACTCGGCTTTGTAAATTTTAGTTTTGTGAAGACACACAAAGACCAATGAACGGCAGGAACATAGGAGATCTCAGCATGAAATTGGTGGATGTGGATTGGTCACTATCACCTGCAGGTTCTTTTCACTTATCTCTCCTTAATTTAGTTTTTGACATTGATAATGATAAGTAATCCTTTGAGAGGCATAACGTGCGGTTATTGATCCATATACTTGGTATTTAGTATAATAACTGTCTCTCTTATTTTTGAAACTATTGGCCATGGCAAATTTAATTAAGAGAGGAAAATATAGGGATGAATTTTTTCGCCAAGTTTTCTAAGCCTGTTCAATAAATTTATTTATTAATTCTCGTCTGACAGATCTCTACCGTTACAAAATTCACTATTATCAAGCTCTTCGTAACGCATTTCTCCAGTGAATTTTGACTCGATTGTAATCGACCTCTAATTCTCTAATTCTTACTTTCTTAACGGTATAGCAATAACCACATTGAATATATTGAATATATTGAAAATTTCAACGACGATTTTATGTTATTTTTAGCCATGAATAATAAATATCTGTCTGAATATATGAGCATAATATATGATCAGTTTGAGAAAAATAGCCTTTTAAAATTAATGTAATTAAATGAAAAGTTAACTTTCTCATGGCCACATACAGAAAATTCAAAATTTTGAATTTCCTACGCAGACCAATATTTCCTCCAAAATCCAAAAAAATTGTTCTCAGATTATCTGCGCTCCTGGCTCCCCTTATCAAGTGCTTCTTATCAGAATTCAGAGGTACATTGGATGACTACCTACCGTGCTACTGTCATCAGTAATTGCATACTGAAAACCTCATGTACATGTCCCTATCCAATCGACGAGTCATTATCACTTTATCAAGCCATCATAAAGTAGTTGCCCTGAGGGAGGGTGTTGACTCACGTGACCTCACCGAGTGTCACGTGACCTCAACTTTATATACCAGGGTTCTGTATTATTAGAAGTCTTTTTAGTTCACCACCATTGATTACAGTTACCCTGTTGTTTTACTTGTCGAATCTAAGTCACGTTGGATGGTTAAAAATCAGAAATGTGGAGAATACGGCGAGTCATAGTGAAACGAAGAATCAAAATTTTAAATTTCTGGAAGATGGAATATTTGTGACATCAATATTTGCATAAAATTGTAGACAATACTTTCTTATTTTATCCCTTAATTCCCTTGCAGCTTTGGACATAGAAGAAGGAAACCTGGACCATGGCGGCGGTGGAAACGCGGAAACAGTACTTTTTACAAACCCACTGACAGCGAACTCAAAGAACCCTGATCTTGAAGCAGCGGAGGATTTGAACGAGACAACGGTTATCAGTAACGGAGTACACGGAGGTAACGGAGTACACGCAGATAACGGGCCACAGTCTGACGTTGGGATCGTTCTTACGGTAAGTTATCAGCTAGTAGTTTGTTTGGAGTATATATGTACCATAATTCATACAACCGTACAAAATTTTTGGAAGTTCTGTCCTCTTGGTTGGGTTGAACCATTAACGTAGTATGGGATAGTTAGGAATCACACAATTCTATAATATATAATATGCAACAGCAATGAGTGATTGAGAGTTCTATTAGCTAATTGAAAAGTTTGAGGGCTGTAGAGTTAGTGATCTAGAGAGTTAGAGAGTTAGAGAGTTCCTAGTTGGTGAGTTAGAGATCTAGAGAGTTAGGGAGTTAAGCAGTTTGATAGTGAAGCAGTTAGAGAGTTAAGCAGTTAGAGGGTTAAGCAGTTAGAGAATTAAGCAGTTAGAGAGTTAAACAGTTAGAGAGTTAATCAGTTAGAGAGTTAAGCAGTTAGCGAGTTAAGCAGTTGGAGAGTTAAGCAGTTAGAGAGTTAAGCAGTTAGAGAGTTAAGCAGTTCAGAGGGTTAGAGCACTCACTTCACACCACGTGGAAAGTAACATTACGTTTATTAGAAACTGCCCGGTCGATGCTAATTCATTAATTTCATAACACTATTAAATGTATGTACAGTCTGGAAGTAAATATGTACCACACTATTAACTATTAAGTCTATATCCTTATATCTGACCTAACCTAATAGATTACTATACCTAAATTCAACTCTACCGTCCGTGGTTCAGTACAGCACAGCACTTATTTCATTCATAACATTTTCTTGCTCTCTTATCACTACGCTATCTTGCTCTTTTGAAAAATAAGTGATTTGTGCATCATCACCGTGTTACTTGACCATGCCCGGCCGGGATATACTGATACAAGATGTGCAAGTTCTAGAAGACTGAAGAAGTGAGAAAACTTTTTTTGTTGTTCGTATCTGGTCTCTTCAAGACTTCAGTTCGCCTCTACTCGTGATCGTGCTATAGTATACTTTCTTTCTTACGAACGAATGATTTATTAATGGTTCCCTTTGTGCTGATAAGTGCCCTAAATTATAAGTTCCTATAACTCCCTTTCTTCCTAGGATGAGATATTATCAGAAGCCCTGTTTTTCTATATTAAAGGCCTCTTGCTAGAGGATGAGATATTATCAGAAGCCCTGTTTTTCTATATTAAAGGCTTCTGACTAGAGGATGAGATATTATCAGAAACCCTGTTTTCTGTATTAAAGGCCTCTTGCTAGAGGATGAATTATTATCAGAAACCCTGTTTTCTATACTAAAGGTCTCTTGCTAGAGGATGAATTATTATCAGAAACCCTGTTTTCTATACTAAAGGTCTATTGCTAGAGGATGAATTATTATCAGAAACCCTGATTTCTATTTAAAAGGCCTCTTATACTAGAGGATGAGATATTATCAGAAACCCTGATTTCTATATTAAAGGTCTATTGCTAGAGGATGAGATATTATCAGAAACCCTGTTTTCTGTATTAAAGGCCTCTTACTAGAGGATGAATTATTATCAGAAACCCTTATTTCTATTTAAAAGGCCTCTTATACTAGAGGATGAGATATTATCAGAAACCCTGATTTCTATATTAAAGGACTCTGACTAGATGATGAGATATTATCAGAAACCCTGTTTTCTATATTAAAGGCCTTTTGCTAGAGGATGAGATATTATCAGAAACCCTGATTTCTATTTAAAAGGCCTCTTATACTAGAGGATGAGATATTATCGGAAATCCTTTTTTCTATTTAAAAGGCCTCTTACTAGAGGATGAGATATTATCAGAAACCCTGATTTCTATATTAAAGGCCTCTTGCTAGAGGATGAGATATTATCAGAAACCCTGATTTCTATTTAAAAGGCCTCTTATACTAGAGGATGAGATATTATCGGAAATCTTTTTTTCTATTTAAAAGGCCTCTTACTAGAGGATGAGATATTATCAGAAACCCTGATTTCTATTTAAAAGGCCTCTTATACTAGAGGATGAGATATTATAAGAAACCCTGATTTCTATATTAAAGGCTTCTGACTAGAGGATGAGATATTATCAGAAACCCTGATTTCTATTTAAAAGGCCTCTTATACTAGAGGATGAGATATTATCAGAAACCCTGATTTCTATATTAAAGGCCTCTTACTAGAGGATGAATTATTATCAGAAACCCTGATTTCTATTTAAAAGGCCTCTTATACTAGAGGATGAGATATTATCAGAAACCCTGATTTCTATTTAAAAGGCCTCTTACTAGAGGATGAGATATTATCAGAAACCCTGATTTCTATTTAAAAGGCCTCTTATACTAGAGGATGAGATATTATCGGAAATCTTTTTTTCTATTTAAAAGGCCTCTTACTAGAGGATTAGATATTATCAGAAACCCTGATTTCTATTTAAAAGGCCTCTTATACTAGAGGATGAGATATTATCAGAAATCCTTTTTTCTATTCAAAAGGCCTCTGACTAGAGGATGAGATATTATCAGAAACCCTGTTTTCTATTTAAAAGGCCAATTCTGAAAGCCTGTTTTCTATTTAAAAGGTCAAGATTCTGAAAGTTAGAATAGAACCAAAACTTAATTCATGTGCCTTTTCTCAAACATGAGTTCCATTAAAAAATCCTGGATTTTATTTTTGGCCGATTAAGCCGCTAAGCTAGTTGAAATTCTTAGCTAGCTAGTGGCGCAGGACAGGTAAGCGGCTGAAACCTCTAGAGCTTACCAATCGCTAACTCCTTCATTTATTAAATATATTATTTTATTTGAGATCTGAATAAAGTTACTGTAATATTCCAAATTATATTTAAATGTTCAAATGTTTATTCTAACTATACATACATATTACATATATGTATTTACTCATGCAAATACCACTTTCACAGGAGAAATACCCTGACTATTCAGAAAAGTCCCCTGAAAAGCAACAAGAAACTTATCAGAACACTTCCATTCAGTAAGTTTTTATTTCATAGCAGATAATTTGTTAATTTTTATACTTATTAGGATTAATTGTTTTAATTCCCTGCGCTTTTGTCTTTTATTTTTTCCAAAAAACTGCGAAAAAGCATGGTAAATTGAACAGCTCTTTATCTTGCGAATTAACTATTTTAATAATGTTCTGTTTCTCAAACTTTATCAAATAATTTACAATCTTTTCATTTCAGCGTTTGGTCACCTTCATCAGAGATCGCCATCAACAAATCCACCGTGAATCTGATCGAAAAATCTAAAACAGGTACCTATAGTTATATGCAATATGCATGTGGTTGTACTTTAATTACATATTACATGCACTCTGTTGAGATTATATTACACATTTTTCACACCCCTATGTCACGAAATTTGCACTTTCGGTCCGTCGTGACTGTATGCTGTCACGATTTGTTATCAGGTTGAAACAGAAATGAAGTTGGTACTTGGTTGATTAATTTCAGCCCACATAAGATTTTCGCAATATTTTGAAACAGTCTGAAACTTCACACGAAACCCGTGTTAATAAAATTCTTTTGCCTTGTTTATTTAAGTTTAACTTGTTCCTCTAACGACCAGAACTGTCAACTTAATGATCGCTGACACGTGCCAAACACGTGCCAAACATTTGTGCCATTTTCTAATACTAATTTATTTAATCTTAATTCCTAGACCCTGCATAAATTGGTTGCAGCAAAACGATTTCTTCGAATAATACCTGTGTGTAGATATTAATTCACCGGAGGGCCTTTTAGTTGACATTATGTTATCTTTAGTAATTGCATATTGATAACTCCATTTATAACGTTCCCCCTTTCAGTTGACGTATCATGCTATCATTGCGTGTTCTTGTATTTCCCTTTAGGGAGGATATTTGTGAAGGCCTTTATCACGCGAACTGAATTATATAAACCTGAATTATATAACCCCCCCCCCCCCCCCCAACCTGTGCTATAAGTAAGTTCTATTCGGGCTTTCGTCCGTTCTCCACAATTGACATTGATTACTTTCTTACTTTAACTGGTTATTTCATTTGTACCCACCTAATTTATCTGGAGGCCACGGTTTTGAACTTTAAATGTTACTTTTTAACACTCCCGACCTAATATGTGCTCAACTCTGGATTCAGAGGCAACATATAAGTGCGATGGGTGCGGAATCGCACTATTGACCTAAATATACTGCACTTTTTCGCACTATGGGCCGTTATTCGTTTAATAATTGTATTATATATAAATTATGAGGCAAGAGAAACGCCATCTCAGAACACGCGAGGAGGATTAGGACCCCCGTACAACATTAAATCAATTCATTCTGTAACGTCCTCAATAAATGTAAAAGATTTCTTAGTGTTTTAATTAGTTTACGCTGTCCAATCTAACGTGAGAGTACCTACCTAAAGGCTAAAAATTAGGCAAATTGTTCAGCTTAATTTTTTCTTCTCTAAATTTGCCGCACATAGAACAGTTTTATTGTTAAGGAAGGTGCGGAATCGCACTATTTGCAAAATATTACTATTATTATTTGGTTAATATCACCGCTGTTGGATCAACTGCAGTCAGCACGTGATTGTGTCTGTAAACTCTGGATTGGAGTAACTTTATTTTTAGTTTGATAGCTTCTAGTAATATGGAACCTACTGCAAAAATCTGTTAACGCTATCGAAGATCTCTCAGCATATCCAAGCCATCTTTAGGACTGTTTCTCGACAAATTTCCTGAAAATCCCCCAATGACAGGCTACACTGCTGTCTGCAGCAACCCTCGTATAATAAACCGGAGCCTCCAGTGGAGAGAGGTATACGTGATGTATGATCATAATTGCCCTGATCACCTTCCAGCTAAACCTCATCAAGGTATCAAATTAAGTAAGTTAGTAATCTTATTAACCGGAAATAGGGGGTAAAATGTTTATGGAGTAAGAAGGGGTATTACCTTACCAGAAATAATTGTCACGGACAACTAGTCTTTCATGGACTAAATTTTTCACGGACATAATTATTCACGCTCATGACCGCCCAAAAATGTACAAAAAATTGTGAAACTTTGGTGATTTTTTAATAAATGTTTTACTCTTTTTCTGAACTCTAGAATGTGACTGAGGAGTGATTATATTTGTACTAGTATACTAATAAACTAATATAGTAATCGGCTACACACATATCTACGCATATGGAGGGACACACTCACTAAAATTAATGGAAATAATTACCGGACTTTATTATTCACGGACCTTGATGCCACAGACAGTATTTTCACGGCCTTAATTATTCACGCTAAGGTCTTCAGCGTGAAAGTAATGTCCGTGATAATTATGACCGATAAGGTATATAATATTATATACATATTTATATTATATAGATATTATATAATCTGGTGGGGTTCTGACTTCTGATGGGATTCCAATTGATTCCAATTTTCCCGAGATTGGGCGTTTCAGTTTGATTCATATTTGATACAAGAGAAACGCCATTTTCGGACGTGAGGAGAGTTAGGACTCCTCCAACTACATTAAATCAATTCCTTCTGTAACGTCCTCAATAAATGTAATAGATTTTCGATGTTGTAATTTATAGTTTAAAACTAATCGTACCGTATCCCCTCGAGAATTTGAGAAGATGTTTTAAAACTTCAAAACCATCATCTACTCAGATTAACATCTCAATATATTAACATTATGTTCAAATCAGAAACCTCACGTAGTCTCACAACCAATATTTCAATTGTTGCTGCATCATCACTCCATACTCCAACATCTCAACATATTAACATTATGTTAAAATTAGAACCTAACCTGACGTAGTCTTACAACCAATATTTCAATTGTTGCTGCATCATCCAAACTCTAACTTATTCGTTGTCATGAAGGATGATGCAACCACTGCTGTACCATTACAGTTCACGCTTTAGAAATATAACGTCAGATAAATTACTGATTTACATTTTGTTTTAAGTCAGTGTGTAGGCGTTGAATTCATTATGAATCTATTTCCCTTTTTCTAACCATTCTTGTACTTTCGTCTTTTACTGTGCTTGAAAATTATCTCTTTTGCTAATTGAATTGAGTCCTATCTTCTATCTGCACAAAATTTAATATTGCCGTATTTTACAGCAGAGGCGTACGCCTCTGCTGTAAAATATTTCACCCTCCGGTTTGTTCTCCCTCCGGGTGTGACGTCATGTCTGTGTGACGTCATGTCTGTGCTCCCGCCACAATTGGCTCGGTAGTGTGATAATACAGTACATATTTGCACGGCATATGAACATTTCTTGATACTTCTTGCATTTCTATTTTATTGCCAATATGCATTATGCATTGTAACAATTTAACAAACGTTGCTATAGCTTTGCTAATTAAAATTGTATTATTGTATTGCTGCTTAATAAACATTTTATATCACTTATATGTTTTAAACAACCCCTCCACTCTCCAGGCTTGTCCTGCTTTTTTTTAGTTATCAGTGTAATTCTCAGCTCTTTATGATCATCATGCTTTCTAGTCAATAATTTGAAGTGTCTGCCTGGTGGTAGCTGCGCCCCTGACCCTGGTCCCTGGCCACTTATCGTACATCAAATTAGATATGAAAATTATCATCAACTTGCACGAATGAATAACGGCTTGATCACCAAAGCGTTTTAGAAATAAACGAGTGGTTACCAAACTGTTATCAGCAAAGTTTAATTAGTTAATTAGTCACACAAGCCTCTGGAGTCTGGAATGCGGTCAACGCAATTTTCCCGCGCCTTTTTCAAACCAATTTTCATGGGAGGAGCTCCAGTCTTGAAACTCTGGACCCATCTTCACCTTAAGTTAACAGCATCCTATTACGGCCCTGAGAAGATTTTAAAACTAGCCACTGGAACTGGAACTTCCGACGTCATGAACTATTACATTATTCCCCAGCCGTTGCGCATATAACATGTTTCCATGAAAAACTAATTACCTTAAAGCAGGATATTCATGCATATACTGTTATTTCATATCTGTATATACTGTATATTCATATACTGTTATTTACAGGATATTATAATTCATATACTGATGGGACAGATTTTAGCCTTTGGATTTAATTTGAAGGGGAGTTCGGGCTGTAAAATTGTAATGGAAGTACGTGATCATTATATGTGACGTAAAAAATAACATAATATTATTATATATCATACCATGGGGTGGCAAGTCCCCATACATCGTGGTCCGATAGTTTCATTGCGTCTTAATATATTCGCATATATTTGTATATTGCTATTTTTATCAGAATAATCTCGCATATTTTTGAGGATCTCTTTCCTCTTTTATCGTTTTCGTTTTAGAGTTTTGCGGCTGATCACTGATCATACCTGTTTGTCCTTTCTTGGAATGTGATTTTAACATATTATATCATAAAATATATTATATTATAATACCTTACAAGACATATTTATAACGTACGAAATGTGGCGGTTTTCCGAAAATTTCGCCATATTTTCGGACCGCCAAAATTTCGGTCGTCGTAATAGAATCCGTCGCATTATCTTTAAGCTTATTTCAATGACTGTGCCTTCACTGCTTTATTTTGTTTCTAAAAAGTAATATCAAGTAAAATAAATAAATAAATTCTGGCATCTTGGGACAAATTATCACCACACCAATGACGAATTGAATGTCACGCAATACAGTTTAAATTTGCATTAAAATACATGTATGTGCTAACATGAAAGTCTTACAGTCTTAATACAGACTAAGTTTGAACATGATTTTACCGAATTTCAGAAATTTCCTTACTGCTTACTGTCACAAAAAATGATGAAAAATACCCTTATTTTCTGTGACGTCCGAAATTTGACGGTTTTTGTTCAATTTCGCCATATTTTCGGACCGCCAAAATTTCGGTCGTCGCAAATTGGTCCGCCACAAAAAAGTCTTGTAAGGTATGTGATTTTAGGATTCGTCAGTTTAGTTAATTTGATTTCAGTAGTTCATGGTAGTAGTTGATACGTTATTTGACCGAACGTTATTTGACCGAACGTTATTTGACCGGACATTGCGTGAACGGACATAATTTGAACGGACATTGAAATGTACGCTCAAAGGCATTCAAACCATTACAAATCCGGATTTTTTGTGGGATTTTTTTTCAATTTTAACAGGTAAATTTTCGATGGATTTGTAATATTGTTATCGCAACGCCAATAAGCTGATAGCATGTGACACGTCACCAGATCAGGATTGTAAATCACAATGCTTCGAAAACGCTAATAAATAAAGGGTAATGCTTTTATGACACCG